TGGTGTTGATAACCAGCTACCTTCTCTCTAGTCTTACACTGCTAAATTAGGGACGGCTAGCGCAGATAGGCCTCGTATAGCTTTGCGCGAAATTCATAACAAACAAACAAACAACCCTCCTCCTAAAACTCGGGTTTTAATTCCTCCAATAAAGAGCGTTCTGAGATGAAGTTATTGTTTTCTGTTCAATATTTTTCAGTAAAATTATTACAGTGTGTTTTAAATCCAGTTTTATAATGAGTACAGCACCTAAAGAAAAGGTTTAAAAAGTAAATTTTTTGATGAAATAAGAAAAAAATTCCTAAAATAAATTCCAGTCTCGAAAAAATAATCAAGTATTTTTTATCTCAATGAATATAATAAACTATTTCTCAAAGTTATAATTTAGTTGTAACTTTGTTACATTTATAGATTTATTGGAAAGGTTTATAATATATTTTCTTTTGGATCATGGATAACTTAACAACAGCGTTTCAAATTAACGTGCCACCCAGTGGCCCAGCTGTATGTATGAACGCTAAAAACCGGTTTTTGGATACCCGTGATGGGTCATTTGAAATCTCAGTTGGGTTTAATTTTGTAAGTAACGATTAAGTATTTATACGTTCACCTAAATCAAAACTAGTTCATTCATCTTCTTCGAAACTCTGCACACCTATTACACGTATCTGTAAGCGTGTTTAAGATAAAAGTTTCAAACGTCAAATCGTGCAAACACCTACACATATAGGCTTACGTGGCTCATTCTAACGCACGACAGGACTAAGTACCAAATAAATAATCATTATACATTACTTAAGCCTCTCTAAAGATGACTAACGCACACAAGAGCTATGTAATCACTTGAAATTACAAGAGAAATAACTTGAGTTATGTGAAGCACGTTAATATACAGTAAAGAAATACTGGCGTTGTCTGCAACGTCATGACTGGTTTCGTAATCATAAGATTGTCGTTTAAGAAATGTCTGTTTGCTTGTAGTTAAGCATAAAGCTACACGATGGGCTATCTCTGCTCTGCCCACCACGGGTATCGAAACCCGGTTCTAGCGTTGTGAGTCCGAAAACATACGCTGTGCCATTTGTCGTTTATGGTTTGTCTTAATATTCCTATCACGTTTGTCACTTCGTTGCACTAAAATCAATGGTTAAGTTAGTGGAATTACAACGTTAAAATCCGGGGCTCGATTCCCCGCAGTGAACACAGCAGATAGCCCAATGTGGCTTTGCTCTAAAACAAATATACCACCAATGGTAAATGTCTGGAGTAGTTTGTTTAACTCAGGTAAAAGTGATCACTGTAGTACAGATTAGTACATGTAAACGAGGTTATTCGTACTTTATAAGAGGGGTGGACTATACTTTAATGAAGTGGCGTCGGGTCTTGGGTAACATGTTTAACATTTCTATGTTTGGTTCACGGCCGACTCCCAGCCATTCGATACTGAAATGTGTTCAGGAGAAGCTTGTTGTTAGAGGATATTGTTACAGCTCTTTTAAAGGTAGATTATTAAACGATATAGGAACACACCATTTGAAAACGAAAACTGTGAATGCTATATATGGAAGCAAAAGAACTTATATAATAGAGCGTTTAGGAAGACAGTCGTATCTGAATAAATACCAATGTCAATCTGGAGCAAATCTTATTTACATAAAACGAATACTATGGTTACGAAAGAGAATCCTTCGACCCCTTTCCCCAAAAAACCATTGCGAAGCCACTTGACATGGCTCTTATCATCGCTAACAAGAAATAGAAGCTGAAGAAGACTCACAGGGTAAAAGTCCAAAAATATCGAACATCTATACAGCTGAAGAAACTGAAATCCCAGTAAATACATTCGACCCCACATCTGTCAAGTCCCTCAATTCAGATCCAATTGAACTTTGTACCTTTGGTTTTCTTAAACATGTTTTAAAAAAAACAAAATCCACATACGATGGATGATACCTCGAAAGTTTGTCGAAGTATTGGTCCAAGATTGAGTTCACCATCCTTTGCAAAATCTTGTTACAATGGAAATTGTGGCAACAGTGTGAAATCCTGTCCATCCAAGCAGGAACGATCGACGATGAGGAAATATCTCTAAGCACAACAGCAAAGGATTAAGGCATTGGTTTTCTAACTGTTATTAACTCTCAGCACATTAGTATACAAATATAATATTACCGTGAAGTCGTGAAAGAATTGTATGGATATGGAATAGATGTTATCAATGTATGTTAAAAGACTGATATTGTAAGAATTATCATATACACATGAACAGTAACTTTTAGGTTATTTTTTGTTGAAATAAAGCATTAGTACAGACAATGTTTTATCAATTTGGATTAATATACGTGGCTCAGATGATATGGTGATGATTTAGATTCATCAAAACTTAATATTTTAAGCCATTAGTAACATTTCTGTCCTGGAACTCTACTGTTTATGTACTGTTCTCTGTATAGTTTATGTACTGTTTTCTGTACAGTTTATGTACTGTTTTCTGTATGAATTCGTTTTCTTGTTAGATTGAACATAAATTGCAAAACGTCAGTGATGAGAAGAGAGTCCAATCCTGATGAGTCGCTTCTCCAATCCTAATCAACCCCTTCTCCAATCCTAATCAGCTCTTTCTTCAATCCTAATCAACCCCTTCTCCAATTCCAATCAGTCCCTTCTTCAATCTTAATCAACCCCTTCTCCAATCCTAATCAGCCCTTTCTTCAATCTCAATCATCCCCTTCTTCAATCCTAATCAACCTCTTCTTCAATCTTAATCAACCCCTTCTCCCATTCCATTCAGCCCTATTCTTCAATCTTAATCAACCCCTTCTCCAATTCCAATCAGCCCCTTCTTCAGTCCTGATGAGTCCCTTCTCCAATCCTAATCAGCCCTTTCTTCAATCCCGATCAGTCCCCTCTACAATCCTAATCAACCCCTTCTCCAATTCCAATCAGCCCCTTCTTCAGTCGTGATGAGTCCCCTCTACAATTGCAATCAACCCCTTCTCCAATCAATTTGGAACTAATGTTAATTATAAAACTGCCTCCTGGTGGCTCAGTGATAAGTAGAGGTAAAAATCTGGTTTCGAAACCCGCGGTCGGAGGAAGAACATTTGTAGTTTTATACCAAACAAACAAACACAAAAAATTACAAAACTAACCAGTCAAGTTTTATAGTTCGAAATACACTATTTATGTCCAGTTTAGTCATGAACGCAAACTTTAACAATTTAGTTGAAGCAATTAACATAAGCTGTTGTCTTAGGTGTTTTCAGTTAGTTATGAAAATCGGTAACTCAAATATCCTTATATTGCGCCTATTACGTGTTTCATGCACATACGTTTTCAATGGCGGTTTTACTATAACACACGACGTCTTCGAAAGCTCAGAACAATGTAACTAATGGGATTAACTTTATCAGCTTTCATAATGATTAAACGTACTGTAATCTCAAAGTATATGATTGAGACAGGCGATGCGTTGCGCAGTTCTCTTTTTTTAAACAAACTGTCAAGTTTTATATTGATAAATACATAAGTTATTTTCAAGCCTTTTCGGACTCATTCAACGCTAGGGAACTCTGAATTTTGTTTCGCACTGCTGTACTAAAAACTTTCAGCTGCTAATGTAAAAACCTCGATAGTATTAGTAACGTTTAATAGAGGATTAATCCTATTCGCTCTGACTGTCATCTTAATTTTACATGCAGAGATAAGTGGACACACCTTTTTTTTGTTTTTCCTTGAGATCACTTAACATAACGCTACTTACCATCTCACAGACCGAAATTTAAACAGCTCTGCGATCCTACAGTAAAACAACAAAGTTACTTACCATCTCACAGATTGAAGTTTAAACAACTTTGCGATTTCACAGTAAAACAACAAAGTTACTTACCATCTCACAGATTGAAGTTTAAACAACTTTGCGATTTCACAGTAAAACAACAACGTTACTTACCATCTCACAGACTGAAGTTTAAGCAGATCTGCCATCCTATAGTGAATGAACAGGTAACCCATCAGTAGGATGATTCTTCATTGACTTATTGAATATTCTTTCATAACACAAGTCTACCCGAGGTCTCAGAATAGATAAGAAATAACATCAAAGTAAGTTAAAATGGAAGATCTTACAGAGATAAAACATTTCTGATAGAGTTCTTAAATTTTTCTTGTTTCTTTAATAAAATGTAATCTTTCTTACGTTTGAAGGAGACAATGACAGCAAAAATTAATCTTGGTGTATTATTTTAAATAATGTAGCATCTTAAGTTTTTGAGTTCAAGATTATTGAACATAAGAATTATTTGAAGGAACTGAAATTAGCCCGATGCGATTTATAAATGTAGGCCTAGAATATGTAGAAAGTTCTAAATATGATGTCTTGAAAACCTGGTAACTTCGAGGAACATTTAAAAGTGACACATCAAATGTAAATACGTGTGGGCTAATGAATTAGCTGAGCTAACAGTAAATCAGCCTGTTGGTAGAGTGCCCGTTTCAGTGAAGTATTGGATTATTATCAGTTATCGCGTATATTCAGTTAGTTAATCGAACAGGTGTAAAATTGTACAAGTAAGTTTATTTTTACATTAGTCTAGTACAGTTTAGCGGAGTATTTCCGTTGGAACGTCATTTATATACGTAGGTCGACAAGTTATAACAGTGTCCCAAGCTTGTAGAAATACGGAGGAAGAAATAAGCTAATTTTTCATCATTACATTTACTGGACTTCACTAAATAATTTTAAAGGACCAGTCCAAATAAAGGACAACGGTACAACAATATTGGTAAATAAGTGTTTTTTGTTTTAATGAAGAGAGAATGCTTATTTTTAAAATAAAATACGAGCATTTTTTTTTGTTTTTTTTAACTAAACTAAACTACACTTTTTTTATTATTATTGACATTTCCAACAATGTATCTCATTAGTAACCCTAGGTTAAACAGTGCAGCGGAAAATACGGAATAAGTCAACACATGGCGGTGAAATAAAGAAAATATTATGGAATACACTTTACTAGAATGTATTCGTTCATGCACAAATTCAACTTCGCTATTATGTCTATTCAATACTATGATGTTCTTCATTTAGACTGTTTGTTGAAACTCATGTATACACTCTGGCATTTCAGCTAATTGTCACGTTTTACACTGACGTGTCGAATTACTGCAGTACAATAACCTCGTGCGTTCGTCTGCGTGCAGAACGTCTTATCGTACTACCTGAAGGCATAAGTAATGCTCTCGGTAGAACAAGCGATTCTCCCGAAAACAAAGTTTGTAGACAACAAAGTGAGGATTGTATTCCAACTAAATGTTCTAAATCGTGCACTTATTTATCAGCCAATCAAAAGCATCACATAAGAATCGTGTAACTCCGTATTTCTGTATACAGTTGAGATAGTACGGGAACAATGATTTCTGATTGAAAGCAATATACAGAAATCTGTGAAATACGTTATACAATATTATTTGATTTTATTATAAAGACGTTAGTAAATATTAAGCACCAGATCGTACTTATCGTCATTACATCCGAAACCAACAATACTTATCGTTATTACATCCGAAACCAACAATACTTATCGTTATTACATCCGAAACCAACAGTACTTATCGTCATTACATCCGAAACCAACATTACATATCGTCATTACATCCGAAACCAACAATACTTATCGTTACATCTGAAACCAACAGCCCTTATCGTCATTACATCTGAAACCAACAGCCCTTATCGTCATTACATCCGAAACCAACAGTACTTATCGTCATTACATCCGAAACCAACAGGACTTATCGTTATTACATCCGAAATCAACAGGACTTATCGTTATTACATCCGAAACCAACAGTACTTATCGTAATTACATCCGAAACCAGCAGTACTTATCGTCATTACATCCGAAACCAACAGTACATATCGTCATTACATCCGAAAACAACAGAATTTGGTTTTCTTTTTTCAGTTTATAAACTTTGCAGAGCAAACTGGAGAATTGAAACCATGTTAAAAAAAAAACTATCAGTCACACTTTAGAAAAATAAAATATTTATATTATCTAAGCCTTACCTTTCAGCCTACATCTTTCTCAGTTTATATTTAGATGTGACGTTCCAACTCTTGAGAAAGGCATAAGCGAAACGTCGTTTTTTTGTGTGTGGAATGTGATTACTCTCATTTTTGGAGACAGTTTTTCATTCTCGTCATTCTGTTTTTGAGTATTAAGATTAAGGATCATACATAGAACAATGTTGATATTTAAGTCGCCCTAAATCCACGTATTTTAAGGCTCGTGCAACTAACAAATGTTATTAAAGTTCTGTTAAACAGTACGAGATAATTTGGTGTATTTTATTTACATTGTTTTGTATGAACCAATGTATTGTTATTAGAAAACAAAGAAAAATGTTCATTATAGTTTTTTTTCTCAGTATTTTATAAATAATAATATTTCTTCGTTTTCAAATTGAAGGCACAAATACTATTTAGGGTTCGTACGTAACTCCCTCTTCTGGCTTATAATGTAACTTTATTCTCCACGTCAATAGAAAGGATTTATAGTTTATCAAACCGATCGAAATCTTCGTATTATGATTTTTTCTTTGCTACAATACATCATTTTTTTTAATGTTTTAATACAACGTTTTTTTTTATGTTATCTAAGGACAGCGAGACATGGGAAAAATACCGTAGTGTTTTCAAGTTTTTTCTGTGTAAGTCCAAGCATGTTTGTTTTGAGAGAACAGTGAGAGATCAGCGATGTTACTAATAACTTAAGCCTTACTGCTGTAAGCTTATACCCTGTATGTTGACAATAAATACTAATGTGTGGGAATATAACAAGCTATCTAAAATCACAAACGTCTAAAATAAAATTGAAAATATGGACACGCTTCTGTCTCGAACTAATGGGCTGAAGGTTACTTAAAATAATATCATTTTCTCCCGAGCACCAAGGGATTAAATGTGAGAAATTCTGATGAAAGTAAACATGCAAGTCAAACTGTCTTGAATGTAAATGAATTTTTGCCAACCACGTGACTCAAATTCACGTAGTTTCACGTTTAACAATAAGCTTTTATGTGACTTTATACACATCTATCTGGTAAATACACTTTTTTAGCTTATAAGGAATTCTAAATGAGTTAAAATCCGACATTTTTTCTTTAGCGTATCAGCTAAGCCCGTTTGAGAGAGAGATGGATTGACAAAGGTGGACTGTTTTACAATACAGCACCAATCCCATGATTCTTCTATACTTGCCAGTTTTACAGCACCAATCCCATGATTCTCCTATATTTGCCAGTTTTACAATACAGCACCAATCCCATGATTCTCCTGTATTTGCCAGTTTTACAATACAGCATCAATCCCACGATTCTCCTGTATTTGCCAGTTTTACAATACAGCACCAATCCCATGATTCTCCTATATTTGCCAGTTTTACAATACAGCACCAATCCCACGATTCTCCTATATTTGCCAGTTTTACAATACAGCATCAATCCCACGATTCTCCTATATTTACTCATTTTGATTCTCAACGTCAATATGAAAAAAAAAAAATACGCGTCAACAACCACCTTATACAGTGAATTTCTGTTGTTCTATAAAAACTGTTTTTTTTTATGATCAGTCTCCTACATCAACTTTCACTCCAAACAACCAGTTTGGGATACTGTAAAGATGAACATCAATAAAATATATAATTTACAAATACATAAGAAGTAACATGGTGCGATAGAAACATAACATCTTACCCTAAATATAATACAAATACACAATATATACCCTAAATATAATAGAAATACACAATAGAATAGTAGATATATTACCGAGTCACCAAGTCGCTTTAGTTACTTCATATGATAAGCTATAATAAAAACTTCTTAAATTAAGATTAAAATAATTATCCAATACCTATGTAACACTATTATGATAGCCAACAAGAACTAAATTTGTTATTCATGAGCTGTTATCCGGAGGTATCTCTCATGTTACCTATCATTCTCTTTAATAGATAGTCCAAGACTAACACCTTTACGATATCATTTTGTTTTACAGTTCTCTATAGAGATGCACAGGGACTAAAAAAAGTCACTGCGTTAATTTCAACAGTAACAGTAAAATCAACGCGTGTCCAGAAACACCTAATCCTGCCAAACAGGATACACTGTTACAGTAGTCCGAATCGCAAGTACAAATTTTTCTCTTCCATGCGAGTTTATTAGAAACTTCACAGTTCAATTCTGCGTCTACGTCTTTCGGGACACAGTTTCTTCTCCAGTGTTCGAGGATTCCTGGGAAAACAAAAAAAATGGGTATTTAAAATTATTAAGAAGGGTTTAGATACCGACTTAACTTGATGGAGCTGAGACGAAAAAAACAAAACAAAAACAAGACTGATGATTAATCAATAACATTTTCCAAACTGTAGAAATCAATAAAAATCGTCAGAAGATAAAATCATTTTTAGGCTAAACATTGTGAAGTTGTGGTGTTAAAAAAGCTACAAAATGGACTATCTGAGCTATCTCCATCTCGGAGAATTGAACCCCGGGTTTTTAGCATTCTTAGCAACCTTACACACCGGAGAATTAAGCCTCGTGAAAGCTGAGAAACCTGGTAAAGATAATGGTATTGTCAACCTAACCGACACCTGAAAGACCCTTAGTAGTTAGGTTTAGTCATTCCTAATTTTGAAATAGATACTAAAGTGAGTACATTCTATTAGTAGCGTTCATCGCCACAAGTGCTTTGCCTTGATCCTGGAACTGAATGATTCGATTGACAACAGACTCAAACTTAGAATTCTGAGAGTATTCAGTGACATCGCTTCTGGAACCTTAGACTTTGTTCCGCAGCTCGAAATTTTAATTTTGGCTAAGAGTGGTCCAAATCCGGTGAACAGGCAGAAGCAGATAGGATTTAAAAACTGGATTTACTCAAGTGGACACTTGACTAAAACATGGTCCGAAAAAAAAAAAAGATCCCAAAATTTACAAACTTTGGAAAGAAGACAAGTTTAGAATCTGACTAAGGGTGGGTCCAGAAAATATATAGACATAAGAAAAGGTCCTAAAGCAGGCATACACAATAGACCACTTGATGAGGATAAAGGAAAGAAGAACAAATAAACGCTTAATCGAAGGGGTGTACAAAACAAAAGAAAGCCAGAGAATACAAACACGCTCTGCCTAGTAAAAGACAATCACACAGAGAGGTAGTTGAAAAATACACGAGAAAACAGGGTACTTGAAAAGACAGGTGCTTACACAAAACAAACACAAGAGGGAAACACGTCTGAAATTAAACCAACAAGGCTGGCTGGTTTAACTCTGCTATAATCTAATAAATAACGCTTGCATATTAGTGCAAAGTTTATCAGATTCTAAATTATTAGGACAGATTAAATTAAACCAACAAGGCTGGCTGGTTTAACTCTGCTATAATCTAATAAATAACGCTTGCATATTAGTGCAAAGTTTATCAGATTCTAAATTAGTAGGACAGGTTAAATTAAACCAACAAGGCTGGCTGGTTTAACTCTGCTATAATCTAATAAATAACGATTGCATATTAGTGCAAAGTTTATCAGATTCTAAATTATTAGGACAGGTTAAATTAAACCAACTAAGGATAGTTGGAAAATAAAGCTGTAAACAATCTGGAGCAATTAGTCAAATCGCATCAACAGATTTTAAGGATTTTTCCATACATTCTATCCAGAAAAGAAACAGCAACAGAAGCAGTACAAAAAAAACAGCAACAGAAGTAGTAATAAAAAACAGCAACAGAAGTAGTAATAAGAAACCAGCAACAGAAGTAGTAATAAAAACAGCAACAGAAGTAGTAATAAGAAACAGCAACAGAAGTAGTAATAAAAAACAGAAACAGAAGTAGTAATAAAAAAACAGCAACAAAAATAGTAGTAAAAAACAGCAACAGAAGTAGTAATAAAAAATAGCAACAGTAGCAGTAATAAAAAACAGCAACACAAGCAGTAATAAAAAAACAGCAATAGAAGTAGTAATAAAAAAAGAAACAGAAGTAGTAATAAGAAAAATGGCAAGAAAAATTCCCATATTATGAGCATAGACAAGATTAACATTCTGTATTAAAAACATTTGGTTAATTCCAAACATCTTGGCCATGTACTGCAATGAAAATATGTAATGGAAAATACCATAAAAACAACAACAAAAACGAACACGATTTTGATACATAAAGACATTTACTGATTGTGTGAGAGGCAGCGTGGCTCATTGGATTTCCAGTTTTGGAATCATAGTCAGATGGTTGCGAGTTCGAGGCCGGTTTACGTCGTGCTGTTGTATTCTTGCACGAGCTATTTCCCCCCACTTCTTTCAGTATACCCAGCTGTATGATAAGTACCAGCTATTGACTAGGGGGTTAACCTGCGATGGAATGGCACCTCGTCCGGAGTGAGGGGGGAAGAACGTATTCTTAGCACTAGATCCTATGTGTCATCTTGGCATGAGAGGGATTTGTATTTTTTTGTTCTATACTTAACATGTGAACAGATATTTCTCCAAACGTGAATACAATAGAACGAGAGTTTTCAAACTTTTTTTTGGTGGGCCTCCATTTGAAAATATTTCAGGATGTGACTACTCACCTCCCCACACACCTACACGTAGTGATAGCAAAATACTATACTCTTTTTAAAATATCCGTAATCGCATAGTCCCCACCCCCCACAATAGCCTTGCGATGATCCCCTTTTGGGTCGGGACCCGAGGTTGAGAAACGTTCAATTAGAAAAATGCTCTAACTACACATCGAATTCCAGTTTAAAACCCACTTACATGATCAGAAACACATCTTCTAAAGTTTAATCTACATTCGCTCGTGATGAAAAAACAACATTCATTCATGATGAACAAACAACATTCATTCAAGATGAACAAACAACATTCATGATGAACAAACAACATTCATGATGAACAAACAACATTCATTCATGATGAAAAAAACAACATTCATTAATGATGAAGAAATAACATTCATTGATGATGAACAAACAACATTCATTAACGATGAAAAAACAACATCCATTCATGATGAACAAACAACATCCATTCATGATGAACAAACAACACCTATTCATGATGAACAAACAACATTCATTCATGATGAAAAAAACAACATTCATTAATGATGAAGAAATAACATTCATTGATGATGAACAAACAACATTCATTAACGATGGACAAACAATATTCATTCATGATGAACAAACAAAGTGTAATGGACAGAAACTGCCTAGTTCAACGTGACACTTGTGAAGAAAGTCTTGGAGGCCTGATCAACAAAAGTAGTTGCTGTCTATTTCACCTTTGTTTGTTTGTTTTACAGCAAAGCCAAATTCGTGGGGAATCGAACCTCAGATTTTAGCGTTGTAAGTCCGTAGACTTACCGCTGTCTCACCGAGGGAACACCTTTGTTTGCTCATCAGGAATACTGTGTCTAGATCATCTATAAAAAGAATACAGTCATCAACATATACAATTATGTTATTATGTTCACATGACCAGGTAATTAGGGCAGTCGACTTGCAATCTGAAGGTCGCGGGTTCGATTCTCCGTCTGTCCAAACATGCTAGCCCTTTTCAGTCGTGGGGGCGTTATAATGTGACGGTCAATCTCACTATTCGTTCGTAAAAGAGTAGGCCAAGAGTTGGCTGTGGGTGGTGATGACTAGCTGCCTTCCCTCTAGTCTTTCACTATTAAATTAGAGACGGCTAACGCAGATAGCCCTCGTGTAGCTTTTCGCGAAATTCTAACCAAACTACACACATATATATATATATATATACGTTAATCAAAATATATCGAATCTTCAATTTACAAATACAGTGGAAGTTATACCGTCAAAGTTAGCAAGTTGTTCTGTCTTATTCTCGTCTAAATTAAACTTGTAATTTTCTTGGTTCATGATAATTGTTCGGGTGATTTGCTATGGTTTTTAACTTATTGTTCCTAATAAGACGTTCTTATATTTAACTGCGAAACCCACATTTATTCGATGTAACGATGGTCATTATAATTACGTTTCTAATTCACTTTAATGTCATTAGTAATATGGTGCATTAGGGATGATGATATTAAGTATGTCATACATAGAATGTTTTAGTTGCATTCTGGGTTGATTAATGACCAATGCGCATGCTCCAATTCTCTTACTAACTCCAAAAGCTCTTACCATTCGAATCCCACTGAACGAATATCTCACACCCATGGTCACACTCGTGCGTGTACACCCTCTGGGGGTGAAAGTTGTCGTCTGTGCAACGGTCTGTTACGTTGTTTCTGTCATTCGGACTCCAGCTACAGAGGTAACACTGGGTGGCTAAACCTGAAAGACAGACGCCAGTTAAAGACGAGTTAGATGATACAGCAGACATAGTTAGTGTTAACTAATCCAATATAGCTGTATATATATATAAGACAATGTGGTGGATCACAGTTTACTTTAAAATAGAATAAATAAGGAGTTTACCTTGAGGTAAAAGTGGAAGTAACACCATTAACACCATGATCCATTTCTCCATTCGGGCTTCTTAGTCTCTAGGATGAAATAAAAACATTAAAACATAGAATATTGTGAATTTCCTTACAAGGTGTTTCCGAGAAGAGTCAATACAAGACAACTTTAGTTTCATCACACGCGCAGAAAACTCATATTTTGTGACACAAAATAACCCCTAGAATGAAATGTCACCTGACCACAAACTTCTGAAAGCAAGAATAATGGCGATGTATCTTAGATTAGATTGGTTTAGTTTGTTTTGAATTTCGCGCAAAGCTCCACGAGGGGTATCTGCGCTAGCCGTCCCTAATTTAGCAGTTATACATTAGAGAGAAGGCAGCTAGTCAACACTACCCACCGCCAACTCTTGGGGTTACTCCTTTACCAATGAATAGTGGGAATAATTGTCACATTAGAATGCTCAAATGGCTGGAAGGGCGAGCAGATAAGAGGCAGACAGGAAATTCTATTTTTACATATACAACTATAGTTTGAGAACCGTTACAAATAAGCCATTAGCAGTACGATTAGACATTTAATCATATTTTTTCAACATTTATTAAATATTAGAATTTTTTTTTCAGTAATGCTCGTCAATGTCACCCCGCTAGGTTTTTTGATGCAACTTGGTTTATAACTTCTGGTATTGAACAAACGGATCAGACACAAATGATAATGAAATGGTACTTTTACACGCGAACGACGTTTAAAAAGTGTAGTAGCTTAACATATGGGATTGTATAAAAAATAGAAACATCCAGCTTAATGTAATAATTCCCCACAATTTTTTTTTACTTTTTACCGTTTTTCTTATTTTTTACAGATTTTTGCAGATTTTTTTACTTTTTTACAGATTTTCTTACTTTTTTTACAGATTTCTTTACTTTTTTTTACATATTTTTTACTTTTTTACAGATTTTTACTCCTCGTCACTATAAAAACCTTGCATTTATTATTGAGAAAATGAGAGAAGGGAAATAATGATTAAAATTACAAACACCACCTAGACTCAATCTTGCCCCCAAGTGGCACAGCGGACTTACAACACTATAATTCGGGTTTCGATACCCGTGGTGGGCAGAGCACAGATAGCCCATCGTGTAGCTTTGTGCTTAATTACAAACAAACAAACAAATAGACTCAATCTTTAATTCGGACTGATAAACATTACGAAATATATTCGTTACTTTCGGCCATAGGTTGGGCGTGGAGTGTTGATTAGAGTACCGGGCTGCGTTCCGTCAGGTCCAAGGTTTAAAAGTATGTTATGCTGCTTAAAACGTTCCGTACTTTCAACTGTTATAAAAATTACGGTAAATTTCGCAATTTGGTTACCAGTAGTCTTGTAGGCGGTGGGGCTGCTAACTAGTGTATTTTATCCAAGAGAAAGGTATGAAGCAGAATAAAAAATTCTTAAGACAAAAGCTTGCTATAGAAACTTTGTTTTCAATTTATTATTACACTTATCAGCTCGTGTGGGATAAGAACACAAATATGTTTCTCAGATTACTTCGCCGGCCTTGTCTGAATAGAATTGTTTTTATACAAGTACTATGATTCGAACCCGTGCGACACCACAAATTATTCCCCGCGCTTTAAGCTGTGGTTGAGTTATAAGAGTGAAAGTCAATCCACTAGTGTAGTTGGTATGGTGTTGCTGATTTGCTGCCTTCCTTTTGGTTAGTAGTTTAAAATTAGGGATGCCACGGATTGCCTTAATAGCTTTGCTTTAAATACAAACATAAGAATGATAAGATTTATTTTCTGACGTCATTTTTAAGAGTGGCATCTGAACAGAAAACATAACTATTACGTAAAAACTCTTTGTACAAAATATTATACTGTGACCAGTCTCTAATAATTAGCCCACCAGGATTGTGAACCAGAGAGTTCATGGTTAGCGTCCCTTTTCCCCCAAAACCAATTCCCACTTTGGTGTCATAATTGCGTTATAAGAGTGAAAGTCAAATCCCACTGAGTGATCCGACAAGAGTAGCCGAAGTGCTTACGATATATGACTTTTCCACTTGTCTATCATCTTAAAATTACGTATGGCTGTTTACACAAAGCCCTTGTATAGGTTTGCACGAAAATTCTAAAGCAAACAGAAAACAAAAATTACATTAGATAACATACATGACCAATTCAAGTTGAACGACTCCGTAGAAGAAAGACGAAATGGCACATCGTAATTTCAAAGTTATATCTAAACTTCAACCAAACCACGTTTATTTATGAAGACTTATCGATCTTACTCTATTTAAGAAATCAGGTTAAATACCTAAAAGGATCCACAAAAGCTAACTGTATAAACATTATATGGAGTTTTCTTTAAGAACCTGAATTACGTATATTATGGTTTTGTTACTAATATGTATTGAAAAACATATCTGTGTGAAGCCTAACCAAAAGATGTATTTCAAGTAAAGCAAACCTGAAAAGACGTTTCTCCATCTGGACAATGCTCTATTAGATAATAAACGTTTCTTATCTAGATAACCGAAAGGTTATTTGTTTGTCAATGCGAAAAAGAAAAGGAAACTCGAATCAATAAGCACTAAAAGAAGAAGAAAAAAATGTTAAGCTAAGTTTGTTTACCTTTAACACAAGTAAGGGCATTTTTAGGTTTTCCACTAATAAATATGTTTTAAGACGATGTTTTTTTATCGATAGCTGAAGAGTTTTGCTTAGCTCCAAAGTATTCTGGTAGTGAAAACAAACTGAACTAAAATTGAAGTTTGCAGATAGGCAGATATGTGGTGGCATTAGATGGTAATATCTGGATGTTTTTTTTCTTGTCCGGTCTACCATGGCCAGGTGGCTAGGGCGCTCGACTCACAATCTGTGGGTCGCGGGGTCGAATCCCCGTCCCACCAAACATCCTCGCCCTTTCAGCCGTGGGGGCGTTATAATGTTACGGTCAATCCCACTATTCGTTGGTAAAAGAGTAACCCAAGAGTTGGCGGTGGGTGGTGGTGACTAGCTGCCTTCCCTCTAGTCTAAATTAGGAACGGCTAGCGCAGATAGCCCCCTCGTGTAGCTTTGGGGGGAAATTTGAAAACAATCAAAACAGTTTCCTTGTCCTTCTTCGACAGAGAAGGATAAGCTAAGAAAGAGAGTACATTAAATAGATTTAAACTTGACAAACGAATTACAATCAAATGTAGTGTATCAGTGTAAGATAATTTAAGCTATCTATATCTAGTTTTGCATTAACTTAAATGTTCTCCGCCTTAATTGTGGTCCCATAGTGGGATAACGGTAAGTTTACGCACTTCCAACGCTAAAATCCAAGGTTAGATTACCCGTCCTAAATAGAGGTCAGATAGCCTATTGTGTGTCTTTGAGCTAGAACGAATCACACACTCATACGCAGAGTATTAATTGTAAGATTCCCCATAAAGTAAATTAGATATCTAAAAAAAAACATTCTTGTAATATGGATGTTATAAAAAAAATATTCTTGTAATATGGTTGTTATAAAAAAATATTCTTGTAATATGGTTGTTATAAAAAAAAATATTCTTGTAATATGGTTTTTATAAAAAATATTCTTGTAATTTGGTTGTTATAAAAAATATTCTTGTAATATGGTTGTTATAAAAAATATTCTTGTAATATGGTTGTTATAAAAAATATTCTTGTAATATGGTTGTTATAAAAATATTCTTGTAATATGGTTGTTATAAAAAATATTCTTGTAATATGGTTGTTATAATAAAATATTCTTGTAATATGGTTGTTATAAAAAACATTCTTCTAATATGGTTGTTATAAAAAAAATTGTAATATGGTTGTTATAAAAAAACATTCTTGTAATACGATTGTTATATAAAACATCTTGTAATACGGTTGTTATTAAAACATTCTTGTAATACGGTTGTTATATAAAACATCTTGTAATACGGTTGTTATTAAAACATTCTTGTAATACGGTTGTTATATAAAACATCTTGTAATACGGTTGTTATAAAATCATTCTTGTAATACGATTGTTATATAAAACATCTTGTAATACGGTTGTTATAGAAAGAGATTAACTGCACTGTTTTTTTTGAAAACGTATTTTCACACAAATCTTTCATTTCGAGCCACAATGGAGAAATTAAGAAGAATGCGGAAAAAACCGTCTACAGTTAACTTGTTTTTATAACAGTTTTTAAGCCTTATGGTTTTCCAATATTTCCCGCTGGCTCTCGGCGTTTAAAGTGTAATTGTGATACGTTTCACAAAGGAATCAACAATAGTATAATTTGTAATAAATTACAACCATAACGCCAACCAGCGTTGTTTCTCACAGTCCTTCACATTCTCTGACCTCATGAGCCATGCCCTATTTAAAAAGCGTTTGGATGTCAGTCATTCTCGAGATTCAATTAAAATGTTTTCCACATGGTTTCTTCTCTGAGAATATTCGCATAATTATCTTTCAGCTTTGTCTGATGAAACCAATTCTCTTATATGTACAGATCGATTAGAAATCTTTCGTTGTGTGCTTGATCATGTTTTCATTCTTTTTGGTATTATTAATACAACAGATTCTTTTGATCTATGGATTGTTCATGCAAGCTTTTAGAAAACAGGTAAAACAAGGCTAGAAAGAGGGACACACTGTGAACTGAACTACGTGTACTCTACAAGGCTAGAAAGAGGGACACACTGTGGACTGAACTACGTGTACTACAACAAGGCTAGAAAGAGGGACACACTGTGGACTGAACTACGTGTACTCTACAAGGCTAGAAAGAGGGACACACTGTGGACTGAACTACGTATACTCTACAAGGCTAGAAAGAGGGACACACTGTGGACTGAACTGCATGTACTCTACAAGACTAGAAAGAGGGACACACTTTGGACTGAACTACGTGTACTCTACAAGGCTAGAAAGAGGAACACACTGTGGACTGAACTACGTGTACTTTATAAGGCTAGAAAGATGGACACACTGTGGACTGAACTACGTGTACTCTACAAGGCTAGAAAGAGGGACATACTGTGGACTGAACTACGTGTACTCTACAAGGCTAGAAAGAGG